GATATATAACCTTCTGTTGTGGCTGACTTTTTCCTATGGGCTCTCCAGTAGTATTATGTCTGCTCGTTCGTTGCTTCTGGTAAAAACAAAATAACAACTGTAGGTTATTAACTAATAACTATATCAAGAACACCTAACCAGAGATGCTAATTACCTTTGGGGGCTGACCACCTTGGTCATCATCTCCATCATCGTCGTCTCCATCTTCTCCGTCGTCCCCATCTTCTCCGTCGTCCCCATCATCGTCCACATCATCATCCCCATCATCGTCCATGTCATCGTCGTCATCCTCCTCATCAGATTGAGATTCTACCACGTCGGCTGGGGGGTTTTTACAAGTGCTCCTATAATGCCCATCCCTTAGCCCGCAGTTCCCACACTTTCTTCTTTTTTTCTTAAGTTGTTTTATCCCTTTTCCTTTCCTACAACCCTTAAACCTCACTTGATTTGGGTTCAATACATCTTTGAACTGGTCTGGTATGACAATCCTTTCTCTCTCGGCGGGGGTTTTCTTTACCATCGCCAACTTGTTACACGCTGCTGTCAACTCATCTTGAGCCATTCGATAAGAGAGAGGAGTGTCTGCTCCTAATAAGCAGAATCGTTGAGACATGAACTGTAGCGACCCGTACCTAATGCTGAAACTGCTGTCATCCTCCAATGTACTTGGTTCTGGCAGAGTTTGTAGGGACTTTGGGTTCTTCGAGCAACGTCTGAGTACCAGTTTTTCAGGAATAGTCTTCACTTTTTCTTCTTTGAGAACAAAAAGCATATGAACGCAGGGTATCCCAATACTCTTAAACTTTTGACAACTGCACTCCATATCGCTTGTTTCAATGTTGTATTTCACCTCTATGACCTTCTCTTTGTTGAACATGGTAACGGTGTAAGTGTGTAGGTTCTCCTCTTCAGTTTGGTTACACTTAATGACTCCAATAACCTCCTCCAACTCATTTTTGAACAAAAGAAATGCAGCCTTTGAGAAAAGCTTTGCTGCACTTTGCTCGAGGGGCTTTAGGATTGAATTCTTTATAGGAACTACACCATAATTAGACTCAAAATCTAATCTAATCTCTGTCTCTCTCATGTCTCTGAGCCACCGGTCGTATTGAGTGAAAAAGTCAAGCAAACAGAACCTCTGATTTTCATACCTTGCAACAACCGCATTTATGCTTTCACATCTTGATGTGGTTGTCAACCCAGCAAAGAAATGTGAGCGCAAGTATGTGTCTGCCCATTCGTTGCGTCTCCCAAATAGTTTTTTCGAAACCCATTGGTTGTTCTGGAGTTCGCATTCCTCTACCAATGCATTCCATTTCTCCTCAAATTCTTCTGGCTCGTACTCAGCAGTTACTAACTTCTTCCACCGGGGTTCAAAGTCGGGTCGATTCTTCACCCTGCCAGTGATATTCTTGGACAAATGCCATGCACATAGCCGATGTGTTGCATTTGGAAACACATTAGCAATAGCTTTCCTCATTGCTTTATCCCCATCCGTGACAACTGTACGTAGCGGAATGTCCCCCAACATTTCCTTCACTATCTTCAACGCCCAAATATAGGTTTCGTCAGTCTCATTGGGCAACAGTGCACTCCCGAATAAGCAAGTTTTGAAGTGATGGTTGATACCTACAATGTCAAACAAAAACTCGGAAAAATCAGAATCTTTTGAACTAGCAGGAGAAAAGCTAAAACTGTGTAGGAATATGTAAATAATGGTAGAGTTCATATATTCAGAAACTTGCTGTTTTCTAGATGCCATAATGTGTATTCAAACAACAAAGCAAAGCATAATACTTAGAGGGCATACTAGGATGGCGTACCTGTAAAAATGACCAGTGGCATATTGTAAATGTTTTTTTGGTACGTTGTGTCAAATGCGAGCAACTCTCCAAAACACGAAATGTCGGCTCTGCAAATGCTGTCAGCCCAAAATAAAAAATGGAGCCTTTTTTCCTCATCAGTAGTGTATCGGAGGAGGAAGTGTGGGTCTGTGCTTTTCTTTGATTCTAGATAGGCCAGTGCAGTTGCTGCATCACCCTCGCTGATTCTCTCAGCGCGGTCTTTGGTGCTGAAATTTAACCCATCTTTAACTGTATACCCAAGTTTGTCATGCCCTCCAGCACAATGCACAGCAAGCTTAATGGCCTGAGAAGGTTTCATTCCGGCATCCTTTTTAAATCGGAGGTCTGCCTTGTCTGCTTCTGTTAATCCTCGATGCGACCTCAAGTAATGTACCTGATTCTGCCTAACTGGGTCATGAGTGTGCTGTGAGTTAAATATATCAGCTACCCACTTATTGCTTGTCTTGTTCAAGCTCACACGAAACATAGCCATGCACTGAAATCTGATCTCCATAGGCGACTCCCTCTTTTGTGCACCTTTATGCTTTTCTCGAACTCCCTGACAAGAACACACGAAGGCTGCACTTGTTACCTCTCCCTTGACGTTCTTAACCTTCCTTGAGCGACGGACAGAAAACCCCCAACTCTTAGCATAGTTGTTGTAGAACGCATATGCATCCTCAAAATCATTGAATTCCTGACCGATAAAAGGAGAATTTTGAATAACGTTTGTGTCATCCTCCTGTACAGTAGGACCATCGCTGTCAGAGGTCATTGATTCTGGTATGATTTCAACATCGCTGTCTTCATTGTTGTTGATATTATCTCCCTCTTCCTCCATTGGTGTGCCGTCTTTTTGTTGTTTGTGACTTTGTGGGGAGGGGCTGTATCGGGCACAAAGCAGAGGTCTTTTTGCTGTTGTTGTAACTTTGAAAATTTTAATGGCCGTAGTTTTACTCGCCGGCCGCACGTAGAGATGGAGAAGAAAAAGGAGCACGAGAGAGAAAGAGGGGTTAATTAGTTAGTAATTAGTATTATTATATTATTAGTTGGAGAGATGTATCAAAGATGGTAATTGGGAATAGATAAATTGAGGAAAGAATTAATCAATTAATTAATTGTTGCAGATTGACAAGTGGCGGATTTTAATAGTTGGATAAATAATGCAGCTAATTAGTTGGATAAGGAATGCAACTAATAAAGAATGCTTGAATTACCGGGAAAAAAAAAATTACTGAAGAATGCTTGTGTGTTATATATGGAAGATTCAACTCCCAAATAGGAGATGCGGATTGTTTCCATGTTAATTATTACCCGTATACAATATTATTTTCCTTTTCCATGTGGAGGTTAATGAGGAAGATAAAGGTTCCAGTATCCTTATAGAGAAAAACACTCACCCGTTGGCGGTTGGCCCTATTTTAAGATCTGAATTTCTATTTATCGCCCTAGGTTTTTAAATATTACGCCCTAAACCCCAGTGAAATGTCGATTTTACCCCAATCACTAAAAAATTGGTGACCATTGCTCTGCTGCTTTTGCGACTTCCGATCTCTGCTCCGCCAGTCGCCGCCAGCCAAGCTGGAAAAGGTAGAAGCAGAAGAAGGAAGCCCAAACCCACCTGCGTCGTCTCCTCTCTACATCGTGGAAGAAGCCTGTCACTCTCGCCGTCGAGCAAGAAAGAATAAGAAGGTCGGAAACCTGCTTTCAACCCGTTCACGCTGTACACCGGCTGATTTCCTTTGTCGTCGACCTCTTGCTTCCTTCCTTGTCGTGCTCCTTCCCTCTCAAGCTTCCAAGATTGCTAACTGCTTTTCTGCATTCACCATGAGCTCGTTCAGGACAGCAGTACAGGAGCTCGGTCAGGGGGCAGAAATCAGGAGCAATATGCAGAACGATAAGGACGGCAGGATGATGACAAAACGCAAAACCAGAAGTTCTTCCAAATTAATGGTTCGTCAATTTGCATTCTTTTTTTCCCCTTTTCTCCATCGTTGGCAGAACTGAATTAAGGCTTTGTGTTTTTATTACGATGAATTCTTTGCCGGAGAAGGATGAATCTCGAGGAAAGAAAGGTAGAACTGAAGATGGTGTGATCCAGATTGATGGTGATTTGCAGGCAGATTGGAATGACTTAGTTAGGAAAGGCCGTACCAGATTTTCTTACTTGCAATTCGCCAAGAAGGTATGATAATCTAGCCTTCCAATTTTCCCCGCTTAGAACAAAATCAATTGTTTTTATCCTTATGTTTCTTCTTCTATTGTAGGGTGAAACAAAGTTTACACTTCCAACAGTTCTCAAGTACACTAGAGAGGAAGTGAACCTTGCCCACTACATATTTGCTAAGGATCTTCCAGAAAAGGAAGTCCTGGTCGAAACCATGATGCAATCCTATACACGACAGGTGTTGTGGTCCCTCTGCCCTAAGTCTAATGTCGCTGATGATGTAATTACAGCCATGGCTTGCCAATTGAGCCTGGCGGAAGTTTGGAGGGATGTTGGAGATGGAAGAGTAGTCTGTTATCTACCTGCTGAACTACAAGTATAGTCCCATTTACTTTATATATTTATTTTAGGTGCAATATTCTGTTTCTCCTATTAAATGTGTTATCTTAGGCTTTTAAATGAACCATGATCAGGAAATGGTGATTAACTATGGCATGACATCAAAAAAAGCTCTAGAGTGTTATGGTCCAAAGTTCTTGGCAAGAGCTCACACGTGCAGAAAGGTTTCTTCTTAACAAGTCCTTTCTTGTTGCATTGAAATATTCCTCAATTATTGTTTCTAGCTACTGTTTGAATTGGATATGCGAATAAATTAGATGCTCCATCAAGCTTTTGATATTTCTGTAAATTGTATTTTACAATGCTCAGCTGAGTTTGGTCTTTCTCGTCGTTATTTAGGTGTGTCTGCCCATGAAAGATGCAATGGACGGTGATGCAGTTCACTGGTATTTAGCTGTCATTATGCTGGATGACAAACAAGTCCATATTTTGGATTCGTATCCTTCTAAAAAGCGCCAAAGATCTCGTAGAAACGCAGTAGTAACTATGGTATGGTTTGACCTCCTGATCCGAATAATTTGTGTTTTCATCTATTTCGAATAAATTGATTACTGCTTATGCAGATCGAATTTCTTGATGGCTTGTTTGAGGATCTTTATCGGCAAGTGGAACCAACACTTGATCCACCTGTGCTGGAAAAATTTTCTTTGACAATTCCTTCAATTCCCGAACAACGTCACGAGTAAGAATTGTTCGTTGTGAATAAATTAGAAACATACTTAGATACCCACAACTCATATGCTGCATCTTATTTTATGTAGGTCTGATAGTGGCGTTTGGGTGTGCTCATGGATGATGGGTGCATCTTGGGATTCTTCTTATAATATATGGGTAAGCAAGAATTCTCCTACTTGGCCTTGAAGGAAAACAACCTTTCGAAACAGCTACTAAGCCTCATTGTCATTGTCAAACTGTTGCAGCCATGCGGAGATATAAGGAGAATGCAAATAGCTTTATATCTGGTCCAACAGCCTACAAATTACATAAGACATGTCGTCATCGAGGAATCAAATAGGAATGCATCGAGATTTGTTGCCCAGACTCGTAGGTACAAGGAAGAAAGCCAAAAGAGCGTAATCCAGAACTAGAAGATTCATAGGGAGATAGTGGTTCATTTCTCCTGCACTAGTATATTCTGGATATTGGTTCCTGCAAACGTTTATGAATTTTTTGGTTGATTAGTTGTCCTGCCAGTACTCTAGTTTTGTTTCCCTTTTCATTTTCGTTGAGAACCAAAACAATACCCTTGAATTGTTTGAATTGTCTGCTTGTCTCGTTCCCTTTTCATGTTCGTTGACAACCAAAAAAATACCCTTGAACCTCTTTGACTTTCTGACGATATTTAGTTGTCCTGCTATGATTTAAAGACAAATTAGTTGTAACTGACTTTAAGTTACAGGGTCTAGTTGGAGAACATACTATATATACATTATCAATCTACCACTATCTCTACCACTATCTCGATACGATCCAGCTCTGAGCAACTAAAAACACTTGTTATTGGGTTAAAATTTTGTTATTGAAGCTATTTGTTGGATCCAACATGGTTAGATTTGCTCCGATGAACGCATACATCTCCGGCGTCCTCCGGTGGCAAGATATGAGATATCCAAAGGGCAAAGCCAAGAATTGGCGCGTGTTTTGGGACGAAATAAAGATAAACAAAAAAGCCCACTGAACAGACGAAAGGTCAAAGTCGTCTTCTTATATACAATACCAGTCCCTTCAATCCCATAATGAAATCACGGCAGTTAAGGCTCATGCCTAGGCGCCTTCTTTAAGCCTTATCTCAGATGAACAAGCATCAGGAACAAAGCGACAAAAACGAGAACCAACATTCGGATTTAACAACAAATAAAGGTAAACACCAAAACCAATCTAAAATGAATTCAATTGGGATCAAATTGATAGTAAAACCGACCGACTACCAATAAAAGTATAAATCCGACCGACTACCAATAAAACAAAACAAAAACTACTTTTCTAAAATGAATCAAATAAACTCTTTTGGCATTTTGAGCTGATTTTCCCCTTGAAATGTCTTTCATAAACGGCCCTTGCTTCATCAATAATTTGAGAGCGCCTTGTATTTGAGAGATCTTTGACTAAAATTATGGCCAAGGCTAGTCGACCTCTATTACTACAAACCTGCAGCAAATTTATAACATTACTCTTAACATGTTGATTTCGATTTGATAATGTAGAATCTCACGTGGATGGAATCATATTTAGAAGGAAAGGATTGTATTATACCGCCGTATACGAATTATCATCAGCCTCTCCGTGCAACATCCACTGACAGACGTAAAACCCGCACTCATAGCTACGTGGAAAAATAGCATTTATTATTGAAAATAAGATTGTGAATCGAAATGAAATAATCAAAATACTCAAAGAAATACTAACTCATCAATTTGCTTAGAAACGTATGGAGGAATTATGATTTGGAACTTATGCACTTTGGGCACTTCATATGTTGATGGCTTGTCTGGAAATTCTTGAAGCATCTTGTAAAAGAATTTCAACTGTAACAACAAACTTAACCACGTAACTATTACAGTACAAAATTTAAAAAAAGAAAAGAAAATTGACTTACTAAATTTACACGAAGGGAATAGTTTGATCACCCACCATTCCTTGCACCCTTTTCTTACGATTTTCCAGCAAACCCAAATCAGTACGCAAAGAGTCCACTACATGCACTACCTTTTGGTCCATGAAAACCACAATAAGAAACCAATGGCGGTTCTCATCATTCATTGGCAAATATATCTGAAATAAATAAACAAGTAAATGATGACGAAAGAATGAATGGACTATACAGTAAAGGGCAAAACATTAAGAGAATATAGTACCCTGGAAAAATTGCTAATATTATTACACCATACCTTGGTGCATTCAAAGGTGCCGCAAAGATATAGGTTCTTATAATTTTCCACGGCTTTTTTTGGAGTCCAACCCATTTTCACAACCAAATCCTGGGTAGCAGTTCACATTCACTATTCAACTTTGGGAGAAAGAAAAAAGTAAACTTACTGTAAAGAGTTTTCCATAATTGTTGCTTACCTCAAAATTGGATGGAAGGTACCAAGGTCCATTTTTCCCCCAAGCCCTAACATCAACAGCTAATTTACAAGCTACAGCAGTCAAAATCTAAATTAAGCAAAACCAAAGATTAGTATAGCTAATATGTGGTCAAGTATGCCTTACCAAAACAGAACTACAAAATACTTACATAACCATGAAGCCACGTTTCTGGAAGCAAGTCCTTCAGTTCTAGACGACTTAAACTATGGCCAAAATTCTCAACAAGCCATTTATCATCGTTTAGACCATCACCAAAGATGAAACACGCAATGGAACGATCCTCATCATTATCTAACTCCATTATTGCAGTCACCGGAAATTCCACCTACGATTTGAATTTACCAAAACTTACAATACATAGGTACATCATAAACATTTTAAAATCACACAGGTGTAATTTCTTTAAATAAATTCTATATACCTTCCCCGATACATTTATATATTCCACAGCCGCATTTTTTGGCCTCTTGTGTGAATCATCGCCATCTGCGTCTGAGTCGGAATCTATATAAATAATTCCGTTTACGCTAGGTGTGAAAGGAACAACAGTGGGAGCTGAACTTCCAGATGCAGTCACCGGAAATTCCATCTACGATTTGAATTTAACAAAAATTACAATACATAGGTACATCATAAACACTTTAAAATGACACAAGTGCAAATTGTTTAAATAAATTCTATATACCTTCACTGACTCATTTAGATCTTCCGTGACCGCATATTTTTGCCTCTTGTGTGAACCATCGCCATCGCGATCTGAGTCTGGGTTTGAATCAATATAATAAACTCGTTTTACGGTAGGCGTGACAGGAACATCAGTGGGAGGTGAACTTCCAGATGCTTCATCAAGAATGCGTTTGGACAGCCTCTTTAGCACTTGAAATTCAGTATCAGTTTTCATTATCATTGCAGTCAAAGATTTAATCTTATCGTACAACTCATTGAACGTCGTCTCCATGGCTCCAAAGGTAGTCGTTATGGATCCAACATATTTCTTAGTATCATGCCTCGACATGCTAAACAACAAAACAAAAGAAATAACATACATGAAACAAACAAAAGTCATAAACAAACAAAAGTCAAAGCGGCTTAAGGAGCGAATAAAGAACATACATGAAAGGAAAAGGGTTGTAAGAAAGGAACAGCACAAACGACCAAAAGAAAGAGCTATTTTAGTTGTTGCACTGTACCGAGATTTCTCCATTGCAATTAGTTTATCTCCCCGCCAGCACAGAAGAAAAGCCTTACTTTTGCTAAAGTCACCAGGGAAAACGGCAGGAGTTATTATTTTTTACAAGGTAAACTCGGCTTGGCGTCCCTTTATATAGACCGCCAAACAAACCTAATTTATTAATACCATTACGTCCAAAAAAAGAATTCCTCTATTGACACCTAAACTGATCCAACTAAGGAAAGCAAGCCTATTAACAAGGAGTAGAGATTAAATCCCCACCAATGACAAGCCTATTTACAAGCATATTCCTCTATTGCGTTTGGCTCCACCACCGAATGAGGGAGGCCATCTCCACTGGACAAAAAAAATTTCGGCCATCACTATTTATGCCCCGAACACAGACGTAATTACACATATCACATATGCATTGGAGAGAGAGAGAGAGAGAGACAGAGGAAATGATAGACCTTCAAGATATCGAAGTCTTCTTCCATCATAACAACATCTAAATCAGAGAATGCACGAGAGGGGCCTCAGTTAAGCAAGACCCAAACATATCCCTACTGTAGCAAGATAATGTGTACAAATTATATACAAGCTTTAATGGAAGGTTTGCGAATTCAAAGTACAAAAGAGAATTTGAAGACCTACCAACGATGCTCGGCAAACGCTTAACAACACCGAGTCTCTGAATTTATCATCAATCAATCGGCATATCTAATCAAGAACCTGAAAATTATATGCAAGTTCAGCTAAGAGAAGCAAGCAAGACAAACAAAGAGGAGGCTCGACTGAAGGAAATTTCCCAAGCGAGAAGATCCAACATCACCTATTGTGCCTGGTACAAAAGGCCTGCTTAGTTTAGTTTTATGTTTTAATTTTACAAGAGCTCATTTTATAGTTATAAATAAAACAGTGGAAGTATATGGAATCAAAATCCTTGTTCAGCATGAATGGTGAAGATTGCCCATGGTAATGACCAGGACGCTGGTTCGACCCTCATACCATTACAAAATTTTTTTGTTTTCATCTACACCTATAGAACGACGCCGTTCTCCAGGCCACTTTCGATTCAGATACGAGCACAAAACGATGCCGTTTTTTCATGTATCGTCGTCTTCCCTAGCCCCCCAAATTCCCAATTATCCAGTTGCCGCCGTCGCCACCGTAATCCGACGGCCGTCTCTCTTCATCGTCCAAACTTTCTCACTCCGTTACGATTCTGGACTCCGACCAAGAGAATTCCCTTGACGAGACCCAATCCCCTCTCTCCATTTCAGCCTTACTCATTGTTTACAGGACGTAAAGGTCATAGTCGTTCACCGTCAATTGACGGCAGCGTACGTCAGCGTACCTACCCACCGCTATCGGCGATCCGCACTTCGGCCCACCTCTCGAGTCAGCACTCTTCACTTCTCCGATCCTTCCTCATCCGCCTCTCGAGCACAAGATTCAATCCATCATGCCTCGAACATATCACTCTCTTAATCCATAGAGGGATTAAACATCGATGGGAAGCGCAAAACCCAATTGCTTCAATCGATAGCCAGGATGAGAGGAGAGGGTTCGTCAGCCACTACAGACAACAATTGGAAAGGGGGTTTGAGCGTTTACATGAGTGGCAAAAGGAATAAATCACCGAACTAAAATTGTAAGTAAATATAACTTAATGGATTGGAGACATAATTAGAATAAAATTTGGTACTATAATTCGAAAATATGTTGAAAAGTTTGTTTAGGGGTTAAAGGGTACGCATAAAAAAGTAATAGGACCAACTAATCATTTAAAAATTGTAAAAATTAAATAATTTAATTCCAATTAATAAACACCGTTAGATTAGATCTACGGTGTAGAAATCCTGTCACATAGTATGTGTCTGACGCATACGAGTGTAACCCATATATATATATATATATATATATATATATAATTAATACGTATACTTATCCGATCGATATTCCGATTTTCGTCGAAATACTGTCAAAACACTCGATTTTAAATCTTGAAATTTTCTAGGGATCGTAATATGAGTTAAGCCGAAACGGGATGTTACATGTTTCCCGTTGTGTCGGACTTGAATATGATTTTTGCGAGTTTAAGGTTTATCTAGGTATTGCAAATAACTGCTTGAATTTGTTTTGTGTAGCCTCTTGGAGTCGTTTGACCGCCTTTTCTCTGTTGTGTCGGGGGTGGCAAATGGTTTTTTTGGTTTTTTTATGCCGGATTTTTTTTTCGTTGAATATGTCGGATTTTATGATCTATTGTGTTTAACTTTTTTTTAGTCAAATTTTATTTTGTATTTGTTTTGTGGAGCCTCTTGGAGTAGTTCCACCAGCTTTTCTCTGTTATGCCAGGGTTGCAAATGGTTTTTTTCCCGCCAAATTTTGTGATCTATTGTGTTCGACTACTTTTTTCCCACCGAATTTTATGATCAATTGTGTTTGACTACTTTTCTTTTGCCTTCAAGGTAGGTACCATTTTTTTATCCTAATGACCTATTGATTGTTCTTTCCTTGAGGGGAGTATTGTTATGGAACAATTCAAATATCACATCAGAAATAAAGGGAAGGAACCCTTGTATATTAGTTTCAACCAAGCTCATTAGTACGAGGCCTTGTGGGGAGGATATCCAAAAATAGAACCGTGCGGGCTTGGCCCAAAACGAACAATATCGTACTAATTGAGCAGCCCAATTACAAAAATAAGTTTAGACTTTACGCGATGTTGACGAGTTTTGTCGGCAACGAATTGAGCTTATTGTGGATTTTGTTGCATGAGGTGAACGTGATATTGAATAGTTTTTCTACGAGATCGTGTTTTAGATGCTTTTCTAATTCGACCCTGTCAAAGCGAGTTTAATCCCGTTTTGACGAATTTAGGAACGGGGACGAGTTTTACCTACTTTTGCAATGAACGAATTGGGCACCTAATTCGAACCGGTCAAAGTGAGTTTAACCTGGTGTTGGCAAATTTTGGGTCGAGAACGAATTTGACCCACTTTTGTAATAAACGGGTTGGGTCGAGTGTGGATTTTGTTAAAAGAAACTAATCGTGGCGACTCCGTTCTTCTTCTTCAACAAGGTCAGGGTCCATCATTAATAGTTTCCATCCAATGGGTGACCATTTCGTAACTAAAGAAATCTTTGAGGGTCTTTCAGATTTTTTGTTTTAGGTAAATACAATTCAATAGGCAAATCTTTTGTTTT